GCCGGAGTCAAGACTGAGCGCGGCCAGGTCCTGCGCCGGTGCCTCCAACGTCGCTGAGCCGTTCACCTTCTTCTCCGCCGGGGTGACCGCTCCCGATTTGGAGACCTCGTTGGCGTCTACAAACTCAATATCGCTATCGGACTTGCGCTCCAGGTCGGCAAATTCCTCGTCGTCAAAGCTGCCGGGCATCTTCTCCTCGCTCATCCGTTGCCGCAGCGGCGGCGGGTCAGCCTTGTTCTTGTCCTTCTCCAGCGCCTTGGCCTCCTGCATCATGATGCTGTCAAGGGTGACAAACGCCTTGCGGAGCTTATAGAAACCCTTCAGAGCTTCCGTTAGACTCTCGTGCAACACGGCCACGACGGCCGCCATGAGCTGCGACTCGGCATGAATGAGCAGGAACTCGGTGCCCGGCGCGTAGATCCTACTGCTCGTGGCGTCCCGTTCTGCCTTTTTGTAATCCGCCCATGCTTTAGCTTCCGTGTCGGCCAGCCGTTTTGAGGCCTCGTTCATGACCTCTTTTTCGAATCCGAGCACGGAGCGGAGGAACGTCGTCATGGCCAGGCCCAGCTGGTGGAAGGCCGAGTCGCCCTTGCGCAGACGTTCCTCGGCGCCGTCAATGTCGTCGTTCATGATGAAAGCGGCGGCTACCATGGCCTCTTCGATATCGGCCATTTCCTTGGCGGAGAGCTCCTTGGAGGAGAGGTTGACTGACGACGCGGCCGGGCTTGCATTGCTGCTTACCTTGCCCGCCGAGCGGAACCACGAGCCCAGTCTACTCATACTGAAAGCGTGATGAGAAGGGCCAAGAGTGAGTGCGTATGTATTTCCTACGGGCAGAATGCAACGTGGCCCAACTACGAGAAGAACAAATATTCACGAGACGGGCTGCTTGGGTTGTCACTGAGTCGGGACCTCGGGAAGTCGACGGGGATGACTAGAAACCGGAAGTGCTCCGGCGAGTCGCTGACAGAGTGTGAGAGTGAGAGTGAGAGAAGCTCGCGGCAGGCAAAAAGGGCCGTGGATCCCCAGCGGCGGACTTTGGGCGCTGAAACAAACACGGGTCGACAGAGTCCGAATCTGGAATGCCGATGGGCGAAGGGAATGACGTCTTTTGCCTAGATTGGCCGCCTCGTGTGAGTGAGTGAGTGAGTTGGCTTTGTTTTGTGTGCTTGTGGGTGTCTGTGAGTGCGAGTGTACCAGTCTGGAGCTCTCTGGTGGAAGCTTCGATTTCGTCCCTATTTTTTTGGTGGCAACCCGGAGCTGGCTGGGAATAAAAAACGGACGCAAGGGTGCTCGATAAATGGCGCTGTTCGGCGAGGATAGAGATGGAGACAAAGACGTGGGAAGCTAAAAACTGAGATGGAGAAGTGAGAGCCGAAAGCGGTCGAGAGCGCGTGCTCAGTCACTCAGTGAGCTTGTGCTGCTGGTGGATCTCTTGCTTGTGGAAGACGAGAGCTCTTAGGATCAGAAGAGATGTCCGGATGTCCTCGGTATCATGGGGTAAAGGCAAGGCTGGAGGACGAGCTCTTGCTGGTGATGACGTTGACGTGACTGCTGACGATAAGGTGAGAAAGTTAGAAAGGCCGGCTTAACAACAACAGCATGAGGTAAGAAAAGGGAACAAATAAGCCAAGCCACGGCAAGGCATGGTCGAGTACATGCATGAAAAAGGCTTAGGTGAGCGGCGAGTGAGAGCGCATCTCAGTTGTCGAACAGGTTAGGGGTGCACGTACTGAACCGGTGAACAGTACGCAAAGGTCATTACCTTCAGTAATACAGAAGCGGCGTCAGTTGGGCCAAGAGTTCGCAACGACCGTCATTGACAGGCAAGAGTGAGATGGGCCAGGGGTGCTTTGACAAAGTGGGTGTAGTATATGCGGTGAGCGTTGCGCGTTACCGTACAGTTTACGAAGAACTGCCAAATACACGTATCCGCGGCTGCAGGGCATGAAGAGGTGAGGTCGGAGAGGGGTGACTGGGTCTTAAAGCAGTTGTACCTTCGATCCAGGTGGCGCGGGGCACGGGGGAGGGAGGTTGAGAGAATGGGCTCGGATGGGTTCCTAGAGCTGGAGCTAAGGGTTATTCGTTCATGCGCCGGCGAGTCCACCGGTCGAGAATTGGGACGGGGGTGTTGCTGGATAGGATGGGATAGGATGGTGCCGGTGCTCGTGAGCGTTGTGTAGATGTATGTTGGTTGGTGTATACATTGAGTCTATGGGTACAGAGACGACTCTAGAGAGAACCTGTAAGGTGTTGCTGTAGGCAGATCCGGCTCCATCGGCCGGAGTATTATTCTCTTAAAGAGAGGCGCAGCTCCGATTCACGAACGTACCCATACGGAAGTTGTGGTGAGCTCTTTGGGAAAAGCTCTAGGTGAGCAAGCAGGGACAGAGAAATTGGCCGGTCTTTCAAGCATCGGGCCTGGGAAAAGCAGCCAATTCTTCTGAACCCCCCCCCCCCCTCCCCTCCGTGGTGAGATAGGTAGGGCTCCTTCACAAGAGGGTTGAGTGATGAATCACACAGCTTTCCTCCACAGCTTCAGGGCCACTTTACCAGGGAAGACCCGCTAGTGAGAACCAGAAGAGAGACTGGAGCAGAAGAAGAAAGTTACGACCTGTGCAGAAGTAGCGTCGTATTCCGTGCCTTTGAGTGGTGGCTGAGCCTGCCGCTTCCGCATCCGCATTCGCACTTTGGTGTGTCCTTGATCCATCGGCCCCAAGATATCCACGGATAGTTGGATAGCTCATTGATTGTCACTCATCCAACACTGCGGTCAGTGGGGGATGGCCCCGGGGTTATCGGGTCGTTCGGCTGCTGGCAATCCCCGAGTTACATCGGGGGCGCGTGCCTTTACTCCCTCCGCTCCGGTCCTCATCAGCCACTTTCATTATACTGTTTGTTGAATAATTTTCGCATCTTCACCCGAGAATGAACTTGCCTATGTCGTACGGTGAATAATTTTTTTTCGGTCAGTGAAAGCTGGACATAGGAATAGTGAGAAGCAGCCGGGAAGCCCTGACGATGCGTATGAGCTAGTCTGGACTGATCTCTCTGGCATTCACGCGCGGGAAGCGATGATTCAAAGTCTCCGAGACTCAACTCGAATCAACGCCGGGAGACGCCATTGCTAAGCAGCCTAGGGCCTGGGCATCGCCCAAGGTGCGGACCCAAGGTACCCTAGCCAAGAGATCATCCGCTACTGCATCTTGCATTGCAGGCAGAAGCTGGCGGCGTTTTCCTTGGTCCTTCTCCGACCGTCTGGTCAGCATGCACAGCATGGCTGGTTAACTAGAATAGGGGAAACATGTCAGAACGTCACATGTCCAAGGTTTGCCATGTCCTTTACTTGTACAGATGGAATGGCAATGGTGTTCTCAACCGGATGACCCAGTTGAGAGAACGGTGAATAGAAAACGTCCGTGACACTTGTAAGATAGTAAAGTTCTATCTACGGCATCATTGAGCGTCGACTGACGGAAGTTTCCTTCATCTCAACTCCCCATACATCCGTCCCGATGAAAAGATCTGAGATGGTAAGCAATTTCCCCCTTCAGGATATGCATAACGTGCCCGGCTCGTTTTGTCCCTTGGTCCTCGGCCGCGTCGGTGCCTCGCAAGCAAGCCGCGCAACCCACACAGTAGTGGGCTCGCGTGCTCAGTCCCCTCAATATGGATGAGGAACACAGGCAGCCGCTGCCAAGAGGTAACGTGGGAGGAAAAGGTGATAGCCATAAGTAGAGGTATAGGCATCCTCCGTAGAGTGAGAAGGCGAACGATCTTTAGAAAGTCGACAGGCCTTCTACATTAACTCTTGGTAACACCAACATCTCGCTTCGTCTTTGTTTACCATCTGAGTGGGATTTGCTGACCAGTGTTAGAGGAAAGGCCCAAGCTCCGACTCAGGCTCAGCGTCTGCTTCTGGTATTGCTGCAGTGACAACCTTCGCTGGTCCTCAGAGTTTGAAAAGCCATTGCATTAGAGGCTGGAAAAGACCTGTTGCGTGTACAATAAAGCGTGGTATAAAAGGGTCACCAGTCCAGAGAGTATCATTGTCGCTACGATGTTCCATCTTAATGCAAGTAGTCCATGTGTGCAACTCCGAATCTAGACGTTCAAAAAACTGTAAATCACTTGAAGCGAGATCTTGACGCCCCAATGAGATGAAAGATGAACTAGATAATCGATTTCAGTAATGGAATGAACACAAAAAGGGTTGAGCTCGAGGCATCTCATTGCTGAGAGTGCTGTCTGCTCGCACAAGTCAATTGCTTGTCAAAATATTGGTAGTAAGTATTTTGTCTTTATATCACTGAGATTGGCCCATTAGACAACCACTTGGATAGTAAGCCCATAAAGCAGGCTGAAGAACAGGAGTATGAAGGATCGTTGGCATTGATGGATAGGCTCTGCTTTTCTCAAGTCTCCGGCACCTGAATGAATCCTGATTCCCTGATGCCTCAGTTGAATAGTGGCGCCGTGTGAGTCTTTACCCCGCTGCGTCACTACCTTACCTTGGGCTGGGCTCATAATGAGTGTAAGGTAAGGAAGGCAAGAAGAACCGCCCTTAGCACTGCAACGCTCCGGCCTGGCTGCCTCTGACCTCACCCCACCACGCCTCTGAGGCAGCTACCCCGCCATCGGCCGAGACACCAAGCTGACTAGGTACGTACTTTTCCACCCTGAAGCAGAACACCACTGCCAATCTGGAAACTACATCGTCGCCAACATCATCACCAACCTCGACACTCTGTCTGCCATTTCTGCTACCAGTATCCGGCGTGCGGAACTGCCTGAAAATCTAACAGGATAGTTCTCCTCCCAAACGTTATCAGTCGACAGCTCTTCCACCCTCCAAAGCCCCACCATCCAGCTATTTTTCGAGAGCTTACAACCTTGAGGGTTCCCGGTTCCCACTCGGCAAAGCTCACCGATCACCTACCCAAACTCAGTCCCAGCATCAACACTCCAGAATACACAACCAACACGCAACATCGCCCATCATGTCGAGCAAGCGCATCGCCAAGGTATGCCAAACTCCCTCCCGCAACCCCCAAATCCTCCCCTACAAACCACCACCATCCTTGACTAACCCCCGAAACCACACGCGCAGGAACTAACCGAAGTCACCACGACCCCTCCCACGGGCATGACAATCACCCTCGCCCGCGACTCCGACCTCCACGCCTGGCACGTCTCCCTCACCGGCCCCGAAAACACCCCCTACGCAGGCGGCACCTTTGCCGTCCTCGTCGACCTCCCTAAGGACTACCCCTTCAAGGCCCCCGTCGTCAAGTTCGCCACCCGCATCTACCACCCCAACATCACAAACGACGCCAACGGCAACATCTGCCTCGGCATGCTCAAATCCGAAAACTGGAAGCCCGCCACCAAGCTCGCCGCCGTCCTCGAGGCCGTCCGCTCCCTCCTCGTTGAACCCCTGCCCGACGACCCCCTCGAGGCCCGCATCGCCGACGAGTTCAAGAATAACCGCCCCGAGTTTGAGAAGAATGCAAAGCAGTACGTCACGCGCTACGCAAAGGGCCCGGCTAGCTTTGCCGCCTCTGAAGCGCCTGCCAAATGAAGCGAGCATCATGGCCAGGTATGGCACGATGTGCGTAGTGTCTTCTCAGCCACGGCGGGGCAGAAGAGGACGTAAGCACGACCAGAACACTACAAGAGCTCTACAGAGAATATCGAAGTTCCTGGGGATCCCAATCATTTTGTTCGAGTGACTCAGGCAAAGAATATGAAAAACGGCGGCGTTGGTCGGTCCAGACAGGGAGCATTACCGGCGTTGGGGCGATGGGTTTTCAAGTTGTTCCATGCTTTTCTCATGGATATGGAATAGTCTCTAGACTTTCAGAGGGCATGAGCAGAGCTTTGGCAGCCAACAGCCGGTCCATTGCGTGGATCGGTAGTCTGGACTGTCCCATATTGTGCACTTTATCTAGGACGGCGTTCATGTTAGATTGTTACAGGACGCTGAATCGAATCACTCATCATCACCTCCTGGAATTGGCATAATGGCATTGTGATCATCTGAACACTCAAAGCGGTGCTCATAATAGCTTTTTAGAGAAACGAGTAGCACCAATCATGAAGACTCGCAGGAATCAAGGGGCACAAAGAAAAGGCTTGAGCATTGTGTGATGCTAACAGACATCATATCTACAACTTGGTGAGACTGTTCTTCACCCGTTCGGGCACTTCCTCCACATATGTTCTATGCCGAACCAAAAATCCAATATGCTAGGGGCGTAACCGCGCCGCCCTCTTCTAGAATGATATCCGTTTTCGCTTCCCAATGGTGCCGCATGCCATGTAGTCATTACCCTCGAAATGCAAATATTCCCTCAAACGCCGTGGCTTAATGCATGCATGCAACTTTTGTTCCTCCTCTGTGGCGGGCTCACGATACCTCTGCTGATCTGCCCAGCCTCCTACGTCCAAAAATGGTGCCTTTTCTACGGACCTCGCCTTCGGCTTCCGTAGCGTTGGCGCTGTCCACAGCGCCTGCGTACGTGGCGGCTCTTTGATGCTCCGTCTGGACTTTTACACGCCGTTCTTCCCGCTGCGTATCGATTGTATCTTGGCTGATGTGCCCAAAACCGTTGCGGCGCTTGAAACAAGCCTCCATTAGTGCATTGGCGTCCAGCAGCTTGCGAGGCATAGCCTGGATCACGGAAAACATCTCCATGGGGTCCGTGACAGATCGAACCTCGTTTTCTCCAAGCTTGAAGATAGCCAAGGCAATGCGGAAAAGAGTCTTGGAGCCTTCGTAAAAGATGACGTCCCATACACGCAATGTGCTCTCAATAGGCAGGGTGCCAATGAAACAGCTCATAAACCACGCCGTCATGCAAAGTGTGATGGGGGGGAGACGGTTGGACGAGATGCTGGGTTGGTTCTTTCTTCTGACCCTCGGCTTTTTCACTGGCTTTGCCGGCCTCGCTGCGTTCGGGTCCCCTTCCATATCGTCGCCAATCTTGGCCCAGACAGCAGGCATGGACTCCCTAATGGCATTCATCAAGACACCAAGGTCCACCTTGGAGCCTTCGAGGCTCATCTCGTGGGTGCCGGGTAGGTATAGGCGAGTGATGACATTCAACAGCCAGAAGGCCTTTTCTTCCGAGTCCATGAACAGAAGGAGCAGGCCAGCGAGGAAGTTGAGACTTTGGCAGTATCCGATGCGTGGGTTGTAAATAGCAAATGCGTGCAGGACCCGTCTCAGGGAAGTGATAATCACAGGCTCATTTTTGGCATCGCTCTCGGAGTCGTCCGTTGACTGAATGTCCCGAGTTGGTTCCGTGTTTGGCTTCGACGCCATGCTTGCAGGCTTGAACTTGACGTTGTCCGGGAATGTCCGGTGAAGATCCCGCTCAATAGCCTCGACATCGATGTCTTTAGCCTTCTTCTGCAGGAGAGTATCGTATAGACCTGAATGTTTTGCCAAAATGGCGGGGCCTCCTGCGTAGTAAAACCAGGCAGCACCTCTCCACTCCGGCGGAATGCCTTTCCGCACAAAACGTTTCGCCTTCGCACTATGGGGAGGGAATCGTTCAGGTTGGTTCGTCATCAGTCCACTCTCCTTCATGAACGTAGTCCATTTCTTGCGCCGTCGGTCGAGGTAGTCAGAGTAACCCTTGTCCCAGGCATCATACTGTTTCCTGGTGATGTGTTGGTTGGCCTTCTTGAAGCCATATCGGTCTCGTGCGCCTGGGTCCTCGATCTCGACCGGCTCGAGATCTACGGCCGTTCGCCCAGAAGAGGTTGATGGGCTGTTCAGCTGCGGTGGCGTAGCTGGTGTGTCGGCCTGGAGAGACTTCGCAGAGTCTCGCTTCTCATTAGTATCTTTGTTATCATCGTTTCGATCATAGTCCGTCAAGCCGAGCTCCTTTGGCAAAGATGCTGGGTATTCGGATACCCTGAACATCTCGGTCGATTCGCGAACAATTGTGTCCGAAGTCGGGACAGTCAATGAGGTGGCGGCGGGTGCGGTCAATGGTTGACTCAGAGCCTCCAACATTCTCGTGTTCCGCCTATTGATCTCCGCCGCCGGAACGGGACGCACGTCGTCGTCGTCGTGGTCTTCGGGGCTCGAGTCATCTCGGAAGCCCTTTTCGTACATCCCCATAACGTCGTCGACACTAAGTTCCTCCCCGTTAGCGTACAGCGATGGAATCGAGCTATTCTTGGTGAGAACGCTGCTTCTTTCCGTCACGTACGTTCCCTGTGCACTGGACGCAGTCATCTGAGATCTGTAACTCGATCTCATCTCGTCTTCACCACTCATCCATGGTGCCTCCCTGGCATATGTAGATAGACCAGAGCTCGAGCTGTCGACACGACCGTAGGCCATTGGAGGACGGGTGAGGCCTGACGGAGGCGGGGCACTTCGTAGACGAGAGGGGGCGCGAGGTTCATAGAGGTCACCTCCCGATGCTGGAATCGAGGCAAACGTCGAGGCCGACCTTGCAGATGATCCGGACTGACCCCGTGGCCGCGGCCATGCTTGATGGTGCGAATTGGGGTCAGAACGCGGCTCTGAAGGAGAGTAGGTGGCCCGAGGTCGGTGTGAGTCTTGTATCGGTTGCTTGATGCTCGGCCTTCTCGGGCGAGAGAAGTTGTCGACCTGCATGGTGTCGATCGAGGAACGGTCGTCTTCGTCGTACGGGATCGGGGATCTGATCGAGCGAGCGGCTCTGCTTGTCCATTCGTCGGCGCTCAAGTCGTCGTCAAGGTCATGACCCGGCCTCGGTGCCAGCGAGGGGAACGTAGGGGAGGAGGGGTAGTGCTGGGCGGAATCATAGGTAGGACGTCGAGGGGATTGAGGCTGCGACTGGGGGTTCGTCGAGTTTTGTTGCATCCCAAAATTGCTCGAGTTACTGGCGAGCGAGTCCCAGCGAGGAGGGGATGTGGGCAAGGGATGTGCATGTGGTGGGTAGGCTGCTGGGAAGTCGGAGTTGGGACGCTCTGGAACGTCAGAAGTTGAGATGGGTTTCGGATGGGTCCGCCTTGAAGCATAAATACCGAATTGGCGATGCTTCATGCTATTCTGGCGCTGGACGGTAGGGTCCTGATCCGCCATGGCTCCGGGGGTGATCTGGGCGTCGGGATGGCCAGAGTCCGCTGCCATGGCCATGAGGGTCATCGTGGCTGACTCCCCGGGCCGTTATATGGCAGCAGCAAGTTTTACTCGAGCAATTGGATTTGCAGAGAACGCGTTGAGACTGCAAGTGACGGTGTTCCTTTGCGGGTCTCTTTGTCGGCAAAGACGTAGTTGATTGTAACTGCTGTTACGATAGCAAAGTCAAGTATCTGTAATGGTTTTGCAAGTTGATTGTGGTAGGGCAGTCAAAAGCGTTCCTGACGATAGCATTGCGGCACATGCATAAACCTTGCGTTTGGCAGCAACCCTCTTTGAATAGTCTCAGCAAGTCGCGACGGGTATTGGTCGGGCGGGGCTGGTTCCAGTGGTTGATCGCTGCTGGTAGCCGGGATATGGCGGGATGAAGAACGGTCGGTGCGAATGTGGTGCAGAAAAAAGGGTGACTATCGGGACGAGTCAAGCAAGGAATGGCAGGTTTCCAGCGTCACAGGGCGTAGGAGACGAGGTGACACCCTGAGTACAGTTCATGCGCATGCGCATGCAAACTGGGGGCTGGATGTAAGGGGTGAAGTTGGACGTCAGAGATCGACCAACGGCTGAGTCAATGGGCGTCGTTTGAGCTGGGAGGTAGCAGGCCGGGAGTTGCGAAACAACAGATGCAGAGAGCCGGCGACGAGGCGCTCAGGCAGGTACAGACGGATTAATTGCAGATGTAGTAGATTGTCGTCGTCTTTCGCCGTGGTCGGCAAAGTGAGGAGAAAGCAAGGGAGCGGTATCCGATCCGGGTGGTGCGGTAGGCTGGCACGCTGGGTAGTATCGTGGTGTTGTGGCAGGTCTCCAGTGCTCCTCTGAAAGTCCCCAGTCGGCCAGAGATATTGGATTAGATTGGACAAAAGGATGGTGGTTGGCGGAAGTGTTTTGGGGGGTGACCTGAATCTCCTTTGGGGGCGGATGCCTGTTGTCGCAGATGAAGATGCTAAAACTGAAGCGAGCGTTTGGACCCAGACGGGGGCGTCGTCATTGGTTCAAGCCCAGAACGGGAATATGAAAACAAGAAAAAAAAACAAAAGAGGACTTGTCGAAGGTCGAGAAACGATGACGGGATCCCTCAAGGGTTCCAGTATCCAATTGTGCAAGGCGTTGGTCTCCTTCTTTTTGTTTTGGTGGCACTGAAAGTATGAGGGCGAGTTAGGCACTCGTGGCGGCGCCAAGTCTAAAGTGTCTCGGAGACGAAAGGGCGATTGACTCGTGCGTCAGATTTTGGGCAACGCTGCCACGAGGCAGAAGCAAAGAAAGACGGCGGTCGGGTATCGGAAACGGTTGGTGATTGGCTACTCTTTGACAGACGGATAGTCTCAGTATCGTGCAGTCAGAGTGCGAGTAGGTTGAAATACGGTCGAGAGTAGCCGAGCGATGGAACGAATGGGAAGTTTGCGGTGCTCTGCGTGGCACCTTGAGGAGAAGTAGACAGGAAAAAAAGTGCAAGACAAACTCAAGTCCCAGGTGAACGAACGGACGGGATGAGAAGAAAGAGGAGAGAGGAAAAGGAAAAGGAAAAAAAAAGATGTTGAAATTCGGGCCAATTGCGCCGACGAGAAGCGCGGCGTCGGATGCCGAAAAAAAACGGGAAACAATTTTAGAAGGAGGCAAGGAACAACCAGGGCTGCATCAAGGAGGGAAAGAGCCGCCAGAAACAACGACGAGGAAGCTGCCTTGGGTTGATGTCGCTCTTGCTGTTGGCGTTGTAGTCTGCACTGATGGTGAATTAAGAAAGAGGAAGGAGCGATTGGATGCCAGTGCGGACGCAAGTTGCAGGTGCAGCGGGCGGGAAGGTGCAAGTGCAGGTGCAAGTGCAGGAGTAGGTCCCTCAGCAGACAAATGCAGGAAGGTGCAGGAAATAATTAGGTAGTAGTACAAGGTAAGGTAAAGTAAGGTAGAGAAGGTGGGATGGGAGGGAAGGGAGGAACGAGCCACAAAGATGATGGAAGGTGAAGACGAGAGACGACACGAGGCGACGACGACGACGACGACAGCAACAATGGCCGAAAGAACAGGGAAGGAAAGGACGACTGAATAAGATGAGGAGATTGGATAGACTTGGATCGTCCTCGCTTTCCCCTTGCTCTCTCGCTTGTCCTTCGCCTGACGTGGTCACTCCCTCGGTATCATAATCCCTAACGTCTGGAAATTCAATATGCTCATCCACCAACTTCTTTTTTTGTGAAGCGGACGGACCATCAGAGAATACGCCAAGGCAATTTGTTATCAAATTCCAACCTTCGGCTTATGATGGTGAGCAGACACCTCAATCTCTACCTTTCTACGCTGCTCGTATGCTTACTTACCAAGTTACCACTGAACAGGGACACCTACGCCATAATACTCCGCAACATACGGAGTATCCGTACTGACATTGAATCTATTCTATCCATACGGTCGCGGGAGCGGACACTGAGAGATAGCCGCCAGCTCCGAAGGGTTGCAATTAACATGGAATGGAGTCAGTCATCCACGTCTTTCTCCTACCGAGACCGAGACTAGGACCAAGACCAAGATCCAAAAAACCAACGGCCAACATGAGCCCCCATCCCGAAAAGGAAGAAAGCCGCCCTCGCAACGACACAGATTGATTAAAGACGGTGAGAGAAGAGAGTCAGTCAGAGCTGGTGCCAGCGCCACTTTTGCAGCCCATCCTCGACTCTTGTTTCCCCCAAATCGTCGCTTCTCACAAGCTTCCAGGCGTACTTTGTACAGGTGCTGAGAAAATCTCATCAATCCGATTCATCACTCCATCCATATCGTCACCAAATTTCGCACACCTGCTACTAAGGACCAAGGTGCCATCCTTCCCCGCAGTCACTCGTCAATCATCTCTCAGCATTCCACCTAAGCCTGGTCAAGTCGGTCAGCGCCTGTTTCCAAGGCCCCATGTCGCCCTGGTCGCCCATGTCCACGGTCCTCTTCTTCCTGGTCACGTCCCCGTTTCTTCCTTCGAGAAGCAGAATCCATCAACTCGGGATGTGGCTCTTGGACAAGAGTACCTGCATCTGCCACCAAATTCACCTGATGGCATGTGTACCGTCATCTCATGTTTCTTCCAGCGGGTTTCTCGCCTCCCTTGCATCACCCGCGCCCAATAACACCCTGGGTGTTATTATTACAGCGCCTTGACCATTTCCCTGCCTGGCTCGCGCATCCGGAACGTACAACAATATTTCGATATGACGCCCACTCACGAGTTGGCGAGAAGGGAAAAATCGATAGCGACAGGGTACCTACACAGGCATAGGGAAGAACTTTACCCAACCCTTAAGGTCTGGACAGGGGAAACACGGGCGGTGGGTGACTTCGATAAGCACTCTCATGGCATGGTGTTGCATTATTGACCCTCGTTCACAGGTATCCGTACTCGAGGACCAGGGAGTAGCAACACGACATTATCGATATCTCATGCATATCCGAACGAACATGCGTACTTCGTACCGTTGGATGCCATGGAGACACCAAAGTCAGAGGAACAAGACCAACTCTCACCACCAGCAAACGCCGCAACGTCCCGATATCAGACGCTGAGACGCAACGCAACCGCTTGCAGGGGGCTCAAGCAGCGCCGTTACCTGCAGGGGCCAGCGAACAAGGCCTGTCTCCTGTCCGGCGCCGGCGGCCCTTCCCACTGGGACGGTTTGGGGCCGGTCCTCCACCTCAGGCTTGCTGGCTATTCCACTTCGCGGGAAGAGGGTTTGCTAGTGCCCCTGGTGCCTGAAGCTATTCCCAAACGAGTATTCATCATCCACTGCCCAATCACTTTACAATTTCCCGGCCCAGGGCCCGGTAGCGTACCGTAACGATCCTCACTGGCCGACTCTCCCTCTTTGAGCCGTCTCCCAGCGAAAATCTGCACCGCCATCGTCATTTTCAGCTTGATGATCCATTCTCTTCTATGGAGTACTCCGTATGCATCAGGCAGGAGAGGCTCTGTTTTCCTCAGGTTTTTCTTTCTCAACCTGTCGTGCTTTGGACCCAGAAAACGCCGTTGGCAGGGCTCTCTGGTCTCTACTAGCGTAGTCTCTCCTTAGTCTATTCTCGAATTTCTTTTTCTCCCATGACCCTATTCTGCTACTTTTCTCCATTTGGAGATGCTTTCTTTTTGACAACCAGTTATGGAATGTGGACCGACTAAACGGTCTTGGGCATTTTCTTTTCCCGCCAACAGCATGGCCTTGGCTTCGGTTAGGATTGCTTCTCATTGTGCCAAGTTCAATGGCGAAGGAGACTCTCACTCGAGAGAACCGAGGTCATGTCCCAAGTAAGATGTTTTCATTCAGCAAAAGTACCCTAGATGCTCTCCCACGAAGCCTTCGGTCCTTCGCCGCTAGGAGGGACAACGGGTACCAATCTGGCGGTTCTCATGCATATCGCTACCAGCGGGCATGCATCATCCCTTCTCACGTCGGCCGCTACTACATTGATCTCGATCATCGGCTCCATCACAAACAAGGCATGGAGAAGTTGTTCTCGTTTATTTTCTCGCTTCGCCTCGCCCGAATTCCATCTCGATCCTCGTGACAGAGCACTCGAGCTTGAGAGTTGAGCGTTGAAATTCCTGTTCCAGTTTTCTTACCTGTTTCTTTCGAGCAATCAAGACAATCCATCTTCACACGCTGCCCCGCTCCAGTACGAACACAAAGTCACAAACACTATCTGCTATCGCGCAATTTTCCAGGCCGCCATCTTCCGCGCATCGCCGACGTGTCATCGATGGACACTTTCGGCGGCTGCTCCGATGGGCGAGTCCAGCCCAGATACCTCCAAAGTTCATCATACCTCTCCCTTGGGCCTTGGCTGAAGCTATGCCAACTCCGAAATGTTTCCGGAGAGCCGGATACTACCCAACTTTCTCAGTAGAGTCCACAACCACACACACCATAAGCATAGTCAGGAACACGCAGAGCACTGGCCACGGAAAACGTTCAGCCCATATCTCTTCGGGCTGTCCCGTCCCCGAGCTTTCTATAACCTCTTTCTGTTGCCGTTACGGCTTTCCCTTGCCTCGGACTATCGACACGTCAGCCCATTAAAGATATCAGATCGGCAATGTCTCATCCTCCCTAGAAACACCATGAGGGGGACCTTCAACCTTTGGACTAGTCAGCTTCGTGGTCCAACTACGGAGTACCTACTGCCAAGAGGCAACTCTTTCTTTTTCCAACTCTCGGTCATCCTACCCGAGCGGCTAATAGGTAAGTAGCTATGATCTTGCGATAAACCGATAAGAGACAGAGGAAGGAACACTAGGTTGTTGCCCGTCACCGTCGGTAGCACCCGCCAAACATGATGGGCAAAATCAGCAGGCCAATGGTGGGTGCTTTGAAGCCTTGCCGCCTGCTTCTCACACTTTTACACAACCCTTGTCGGTTTAGGATGCAAGTCGCAACCAGTGCTGAATAGCACGTGTTGGCAAGCCAGGACGGCCTCTGCAGCATGGGAGCACTTTGTGAGTGCGGTCACACGTCACGTACGCGACGCGCCCTTCTGCCAGTATGGCGAAGCAGCTCATATCTCTCCTTTCGGATCCGCCCTTCTTGGAGGGTCCCTTCCAGTCATTGTTGACTCAATGGACGGACTCGCTACCTTTTCCATATCTCTCAGTCTGTCAATTCTACGTCAGCTCGATTACGGCATGCGCTGGTCTTAAGGACATTCGCTATCGAGCCTCAAGGCTGTAAGTGCAGACTTGAGCAAAGAGTCCGGTCAGGCGCCTGCCAAGCAGTGACGGATTAAAGACGGAGCGGAATTGCCTTTGCGACCCGGATGGACTGGAGTCACTGGACGGGGCTTAGGTTGGTACCTGGACTCAGGAGTCTAGTGCACGTGATGACGGCGTTCATGACGTCCCGTTCCGGGTAGAATCACGTCAGCGTGCGGTCAGCTATCATGGTTTACTCTTTCACACCAAGGGTGTGTACACATCGAGAAATTGCTAGCGATTGAGGACTGCCATTGGCTTTCCCAGCTACAGCTTTCAGCTACGGATACGGCTTTTGATTGACACAGGGGGACACCAGCAGCAACCGAGAGCAACGCAAGTTGGAGGCAGAAAGGGGGAAGACTGAGAGAGGGATATTGGGGAGGACTCTGGACGGGAAGAGGGGAGGGCTCTCTTCTCTGAGGGCACAGGATCGGAGCTTCGTCTTCTTCTCTCCCACCTCGGTGATGCTGCTGCTTGCTGCACGCACCTTAGGTCCGGGCAGGGATGGTGATGCTGTTGCTTCCCCAGAAAGGTCCGAGCTCCTCCTGCTCGACGGACCAACCAGAGCGTCAGACTCCGAGTTCGAAAGCTGACCGTCGACCAACTTGCGCCGCGCCAGTCTGCTTGTTTCCCTGTTTGGATCTTCCACCCAACCCCGATTCCTCCGCGCACGCCTACGTTCACGCCCGCGCCGCCCGCGCACCCTCGCCCTCGCGCGATTCTCTTTCTCTCTCCCGTCTCTTGCGCTCACGTCTCTCCAGTCTCCCCGTCCGCTGGTCGTCTCGTCTCGTCTTTCTCTCTCTCTCTCCCCTCAGTCGCCGGCTTGCACCCCCCGACAATCGACTTGAAGCTCCCCCAGCCACCCTTCAGTCCTCCACCCATCCATCCACCTTTGGCCTCCCTCCTCTCAGTCCTGGCCTAGTTCTTGTCTCTGGGCCTGACTGGGTGACTGGGTGAAGCGGGACTGGGTGTTGCTCCGGCTCAAAGTCTCTGGCACATTGTTCCTTGGGACCTATAGGCTTTGGCTCTTTACCTTACTACCTCCGGCCGGCTCTGCCTCGCACACGCTCCCTCGCAAACAGTATGGCACAAGGCGCACCACGGAGCTGAGAGAGGGAGCTCCCCTACCCCCTCCTCAGTCCTCACTCTCTTGCGCACCGCAACGCACCACACCGCACCACACTGCCTCGCACTCTCCCTCCTCTCTTCTCTTCCTCGCGCCCGCCCATTGCGCTCCCAGAGAGCCAGAGCTACCACCAGTCGACTCGCACCCACCCACCTTTGACCTTGCCCCGTCCTCCCCCCATAGCTTTCCTTGCGCCAACCTACCTACCTTGCCTACCTTTCGTCCTGGCCATCCCCCAACTCTCTCTCTCTTCTCTCTTTACTTCTCCTACATATATCTCTCTCTTCCCATCCCTCTCTTGCTTGTCTCCTACTGAAATCTCATCCCGAGACAACCTAACACACCCAATTGAACCCTCCGGAGCTTCATCACACAATGTCCACCCGCAAGAGAAAGCAAGAAGAGGAGGAGGAGCTTGTCTCCCTTCCCGATGACGACGGTGAAGAGGAAGAGGAGTAAGTCGTTCCTATCCTGCCCATGCCGTCGACCTTCTTTGAGAGTAGTAAACATTGAGTGATGTTTCTACTCCGACCTTGAACTTGTATGCGCAGACAGAGCTATCTTGTCATTGAAGCTCCAATATTGCCATAGCTATGCGCCGGGCTCATCCAGGGTTCTGGAAGCATTTTCGCGTACACAGCCGCTGTCCGGCATACCATCTCCCTCAACCACACAACTGACAAGGCTCGCCCATCAGGTATGAATCAGAGGAAGACGGAGAGGAGGGTGATGACGACGTCGAGGAAGAGGAGGAAGACGAGGAGGAAGAGGGAGATGCCGAGGAAGACGGAGACGCCAACGGCGTAGACGGTAAGCCCGCTCGACAGCGCCCTATAAGCCAATACATCTAGGATAGACAGCTAACGTGCAGGACCCACAGAGAAAGCTCCTCCATCGAAGAAGCGAAAGACCGAGACCGCTGCCACGGATGATGCGGCCGACGCTGAAGAGGCTGCCGATGAGGAAGAGGCTGAAGACGAGCCCGAGGGTGAAGACAACGCTGAAGAAGAGGAAGAGGAGGCCGAGGCCGACGAGGAGGCTGCCAACGGTGTCGAGGACGCTCCGGCCAAGGGTGATGTCAAGGCTGCTGAGGCACCTGCCGCTACCAACGGTGATGCCGCTAAGGCTGTTGCTGCTGGCGGTGACGCCGAGGAGTAGACTCGTCGTGTGTTCTATATAGCAGTATCAATCTTATACTTTAACTCCATCGGTCCTTTCATGTGCGGCTATCGGTTTGTCGAGTGATGGATTATGGTGTAAGAAGGGGTGTCTCAACAGCATCCTACTTTTATGGCGTTTCCTCCGTGATGTGATGCGATGCACCTTCATCCGGGATGTTCTGTCAATGACAATCTGTAAATCAACATCTTCTCTATGCGATGTAAATACCTACGAGCTGTTTTCAACTTGCGACAGAATGCGACAGTCCTCAGCAATGGCCCTCACATGCCAACCACTTGGGTCGCTCTGAGCGCACGGATGTAGTTCGTTTCGTGTCCTTTCCTTCGGACTGAGGGGGAAACTTTGGGAACATTTGCGTCGAGAGAAACCTCAAAGGTAGGACCAGCAATTCGGGAGGACAAGATGTGAGATATTCTTCATTCATTTCCATAGATTGGGTGTCAATTGAGATGCAGATATACCCGATACTCGACACTTACTCGGCCTGCTCTTTTTCGCGCCTACTTGCACCTACCTTATCCAATGAAGTATGACTCCCCCTTTTCCAACCCTTTTCGAAGAAAGATGTTGGTCCTCTGTATGTGCGTGCTCCCTGGTTGGTTTGATTGCCGAGTGCAGGAAAAGATGGGTGCTGACTGGCCGCATAAAAGGTCCCCGTCGGCCTTTTGAGCGACGTTCGATTAGGGGGGCCAGTCTTGGGGGCTAAAAAAAGGGCCGGGCCTTCCGTTCGGCTTTTCGGCTGAGGGTTGGGTTCCGGGGATCCGCTCACGATGGGCGGGAGGGGGCCGGTCGGCCGGGGGGGTTGACATCTTCGGCTCCGGAAAGGGAAGAGAGAGAGCGAGGGAAAAGGGGAAAAGGCTGGCGTCTCACGACGGGAGAATTCTCGCCATCGTCGATGAACAAATGCGTCATTCGCAGTACGCGCCACTTTTGCCAACCAGAGTGCTTGCTAGCACAAAAGGCAAAAGATACATGCAACACCGGGCATTCGCCGGTCGTCTCCGACCCGACTACTACTCCGGCCCTCACTAGTTTATCGATAGGAGAGCGGACGGGATCCCGAGTTCTCCAGTGGGTGTGGTCGCATGTGCTGTGTTAATGGAGTGGCGATGCTCAGATTGGTGGAGGTTGGTGGTGAGGCGATGGAGAAGGGTCTCCAGCCTGGGCCTGAGTGGTTTCTGGATTCTATGGGTATTGAATGACATAGGAAAGCTGACTGGTTGCAGCTTGGTTCGGCAGATGTTCGAAACCTCGTCCATTACTGTAGTGGTCATTGACGGGCTTGCGAACCTACTTTCGCTCGGCGTTCTCCCTGTCCACTCTCGATCAATACAGAACAAAAACTTGATAACGAGTACCAATGAAGCAAATACTTCCAGTAGAATACGGGGAGCAAGGCGTGCCTCATGATATGGACGTTGGGCGGCCGTGGCATAACAAGGCAAGGCTCCGGTTTCCTCGTAGATAAGTTCATGATTAAGAGTCACCAGTTAAGGGCCCTATATATCATTCTATCTGCCTCTCGCTCACATGACCATTCAAAAATTACATGTTTCTGTCACTGGAAACACAAAGTGACAGCGAATAGTCCGAAAACCACAAGCTCTTGAGCGTTTGGAACTCGATACTGCCTAGATTATGTGCGGTCCAACGTGGTCTTTATTTTTGAGTTTTGCTACTTATTTGAGCAGAATCCCGCTCAAAACTCTTGGTATTTCTACCACGCAATTTACAGCTCGCTCGACTCATCAGGCAAGATGTCTAGACGAATTGCCCTTAGAACCACATAGAAAACGCTGAAACCTGGTGGCACGTCAGAGTTCCCGCACGACATTCGGCTCCAACTCTCGGAGAATACGTTCTCAGTATTCGTATAAAAGCACTAGTAAAGAGTATTGTAATAGCAAGTTTATCTTACGTTCTATAGTGTCCATAGGTCTGCGTAAGTGTTTAGGAGTCCAGGAATATCTCGTAGGATCCACGGGAGAATGCAGCCTACAAGAATGTATATTTCTTACTGCTTCATAGTAGTATCACCTTTCGATAATACTATAGCCTTCTACATCTCTTAGACTGGGCATATTCTATATAGAATACTCTATCAATAGTTCTAGAAAACGAGAGCCACTAGACTACCTAAGTGCCTGTATTTTTAAAATTTGTTCACCTTCTTGTATACTATCAGTGAGCATGTGCTTTTCCTACGTGATCAGAGTGGTGGTAAATGCTTAGGAGCGTCTTATAGTGGCTAAAGCGAGGGTTTATAGACCTTGTTTTGCGTACTATGTGTGAGGTTGAAAAGAGGAGAAGAGGATGGGGATAGATAAAGTGATGTTGTCAAATGCCTTTTAGACATGGATGAGCCCGATAAGAAGAAGGTAGCCTGTCTCTCAAGTCCCATTACCGCCTGCTTACCCCTCCTTGCCTTGTCCACCCGGCATACCCAGCAAGTAACATCACCGCAAGCGTAGCCAGCAACCTCTGCCTGTTGATAACCTCTCATGTCGCCCTTCTACCTAAGGGGCGTTTACTTCCATCAACTGCAAGCAAGCTAGCTCCTCCCAATGATGGTGGGCGTCTCAGTCAGTGGATAGGCTACTTCCGATTTTGTTCTACACCAGCCGGAAAAGAGACCACAGTACATGGCGCAACATGTACCATGATGAACAAACCCCTAGCACTAGAATGGGGTGGCTTGAATGAAGCGAGCAAGGGTACATCAGTAGATTCGTACCGAGGCTTGTATTTGGCTGGACGAATATGGCGAATATCCTGATAGAGTTTGCGGAGTATCAGATGTAAGACGACTCGGCGTAGACCCAGGTCAATAGGAGGAAGTAATGGCGATCTCGCGTAGTCTAGACTAGGAGAAGGTCTGGGGCACTGTCATGTGTGTTGCCACATGAACTGCGGGGACTTGGGGAGATGGGACTGGCAGGGGCTAGCTAGATGTATTCTGAAGCAGGCATGGTCTCTGCGTATTGGGTAGCCAGTCTCTGTTATGGCTGAGTAGACTTCAACGGCAAGCAATGTACGATGAAATGGACCTTACCAGCCTAAGCCAGTATCCAGGCTGTAATCAAAGGCGCGTTGTGATGAGACAATTGATCAAGCAGGCCACACTTACCTGGATGACTTTGCCAACTTGATACCGTAATCGACTACGGATACATCGAGCCCATTCCGGTAAGCTCATCTCATTCGACGATCACGCCACTGATGGGGTCAGTTGGGTACCTCGAACCTGGACAATCTGGGCATTGCCGAATGAACTATCCGGCTGAAGGCGATCGGCCCGAGTCTCGGGGATCTAATGTGACGTTGTGCTTAAACCAACTACATATCGTTGTGTCTTATATTTCATGTGAAGCATTGCTTGATTACTCGCCATCGACTCGTCCTGACATTTGACCAGCTCTTGTAAGGGGCCTTGGTAGAAGGCTTGGTATCAATCATGAGAGATGAGAGCAGTGACCGGCAGTACCTCAGACCAGGTACGTCTTTCATAACCACGTTTCATGGATCAAAGTCTTGGCTTTTATGGTCATTGCCAGAGAGAGAACCTTTACAACAGGGATAGACAGAGCGGCTTCGACACGGGAGATGAAGTGTGACGGTTACTGGCTCTCTGAGAGCCAAATCTGCGCTCGCATCTTCACTCAAACGATGGGAAGCGCTTGGAGACTTGGCCGACTTCGTCTGTAGTCTTGCGCAATAGTAATAAGATAGAGCAAAGTATGAAACGAGAAGAGGCTTGGAATGTTAAGAAAACGTGAGCAGAAGAGGGGGGAAAGAAGCCAGAGGGGATGAGCTCCTTTCCACAGTATTCTAGGATATTCTTTCTTCAAATTATTATTCTTTAAGAAAGAAGAAACAACACAAGTGTCACAGAATGCAAAGAGTCGTGGCAAGGTGGGGGATAGTTGATTTCCTGGCAAGACATTCGTGCGGCTGTAGTGGTGCACAAAAGAGACGCCAGGTCTGCGCCCAGGTTTCGCAGGCCCGGGAACTGGGCGTCAGAAGTCCACAACTAGATGCGCATTGAATTCAAGATTATTATGACAATGTAGTAGTCGGCGTATATGTGACGTCCTGGCGTCCTGTTGGCCCGGCAGAGTTGACGTCAACGGGGCGAGTGTGGATTTTATGTGAAAGGGCATGTCGAAAAAAAAGATTATGGCGCGTCGGTGTACATTTGCCCGGTCCCAGCGACGCGGATTGGGACGGGTAACAAGCGGTGCCAATCAGGCGTGTTGGAAACGAAACGGCTGACGGTGACTAGGTCCAGGCTGGCTTGGTTTTCTCTGCTCGGCGCGAATCCCCCGGCCGCGTCTTTATTTCTTGTATCTTTGCCCCTCTATGTACTCACCCCGCCGAGTTGTCAATGACACAGTGAGAGTAATGGAGGCATATGGCATGGGTCCCTCTCTCGATGTGTAAGAGGGGGTAACGGACCGAGAGATAGAGGGCTGGAGGAAGATTCAACTGGTAGAACTGCTTCCTCGGGGATAGCGGCACCACGGCAGGAACCAAACTGCCACATCTAACAGGTAAAAGATCCATCCAATGATACAGACAAGTAAAAGAAGGTACAAGACGACAGAAACAGAAACGCTGGAAGCGGATAGGCTGGCGGGCCACAGGTCGGCAAGTGCCCGCGCCCCGGCGCATTTAGGCGCATCCAACGCGCATAGAAAAAAGAGAGAGAAAAAAGATACAACCCCCGGTCCCCCGTTGCTCCTGCGTCATTCCCAGGCGCACACGAGGTGGGGGGAGGGGCAACTTTGTGCTCCGTACTCTCTTTGGAGGGGGCAGGATCAGGGGTTGGCGGGGGCCAAACAACTCAATGGACTGGACCTTCCTCTCCTTCACCACCTACCTCGTGTACCTACCTACCTACCTATGTAGAGAGAGGGAAGGAGAGACAGGAGAAATAGATACCTCGCGCTTAGGAGCGTTATCTACCGAACGCAAGTACTCCAAGTGACACTAACCTCACCTTCCACACTTACACAGCACTTCAGGTACTAAGTAAAGTACATGGCGGGTAGATAGGTAGATAGATATGCGACCAAACAAAAAAGGCCAGGTGCAAAGGATACCGAGCTCATTAGGTATCATCTAAGTCATAGCTTCCACTGCCTGCTTACATGATTTCCCGCCGTCTTGATCACATACAAAAGAGCTCTCCCCCATCCCTTCCCGAAGAATTTCTTGCTATTCCACGATAACTCCTCTCTCTTCTCATATTGAGTCTTTTACTTTCTATTCCAAGATACCCCCGACTCTATAGTCTACACCTCAAACACTGCCCAAAATGTCTCAGACCTCCCGCACCTTCACCCTCAACACGGGTGCCAAGATCCCCGCCATTGGCCTGGGAACCTGGCAGTCCGCCCCCAACCAGGTCAAGCTCGCCGTCGAGGCTGCCCTGAAGAACGGCTACCGCCACATTGATACCGCTTTCGCCTACCAGAACGAGAAGGAGGTCGGCGACGGCATCATTGCCTCGGGCGTCCCCCGCGAGGAGATTTGGCTCACCACCAAGCTCGATAACCCCTGGCACAAGCGCGTCCCCGAGGCCATTACAAAGTCCCTCGAGAACCTTCAGACCGACTACGTCGACCTCTACCTCATGCACTGGCCCTCCAGCACCGACCCCGACGACCTCAAGAAGCACTACCCCGACTGGGACTACGTCGACACTTGGCGCGAGCTGCAGAAGCTCGTCGACACCGGCAAGGTCAAGAACATTGGTGTCTCCAACTTTGGCCTCACCCACCTCGAGCGCCTCCTCAACGATCCCTCCACCAAGGTATTTCCCTTTCTCTTTGACTTCTCCAGAACTGTCCGGACTAACAATAGACCCAGATCGTCCCCGCCGTCAACCAGATCGAGCTTCACCCCTGCAACCCCTCCCCCAAGCTCCTCGACTACTGCAAGTCAAAGGGCATCCACGCCACCGCCTACTCGTGCCTGGGCAGCACCGACTCCCCTCTTTACACCAATCAGACTCTCCTCGACATTGCAAAGTCCAAGGACCGCACTCCCCAGCAAGTCCTCCTCCAGTGGGGCTTGGCCAGAGACGTCAGCGTCATCCCCAAGTCCGTCTCTGAGGGCCGCATCAAGGCCAACTACGACCTCGACGGTTGGTCCCTCACCGATGACGAGTTCAAGAAGATCTCCGCCATCCGCGACCGCTTCAAGGTCTGCGATGGCACCTTCCTTCCCGACGGTGTCAAGGTCTTCTTCGGCGATGATGAGTAAATGTTCAGTCCGGGTAGCAGTGTAATGAGTGAGAAAAAAGTGGTGGACTCACATAATGAGTTTAAAAAGAAACGAAACAACGCTACGGCGTGATAAGACATGCTGCTACGCATAGGCAGCTAGGACATGATAGTCCTTGATATACATGAAATGAATAAACGAATCTTAAAAAAAAAAGCAAAAAACCCTTCGTCGCACTCATCAA